AAAGACCTGGGGGAGGTGCTTGCCCTGTGGGGCAGGTGCCCAAGCTCTGCAGGACCAGGACGGGAGGCCTGCATGGGCAAAGCAAGGAGTGAGAAGGCAGGAGAGGGGCCAGCAGGGCCTGAGCTGCTGGGGGCTGGCACACTGGCAAGGCATTGGGGTTGTCCCCCAGGCTGGATGGGAGGCAGCACTCTCAGAGCCATATTTTCAAAGGACCCCTCTGGCTGCCGTGTGACAAAGGATGGAAGCCTCGTAGGGACTCAAGCGCAGGTGAGAGAACTGGGCGGTCCTGAGGGTTGGGCGTGGAGGCGTGGGCAGCAGCCGGGCCAGCATATATTTTGGAGGAAGAGCTGTGAGGCAGGCCTAGGTGGGAGGGAGATAAAGTCGTCAACGCAGCTCCAGGGTTTGGGGCTGATCCACTTGCAGGAAGGGATGGAGGCTGCAGTGGGGAAGGTGGGAACAGAGGAGGGTCACAGAGGCAAACCCCAGAGGTGGGTGCGTTCCAGCTCACAGAGAGCCTTGCAAGCCCTGGAGACAACCAACAAACCCCCTCCGGGCTGCTCAGAGGACAGCAGAGGAGCCACTGAAGGCTTGTAGGCTGGAGAGTTCCAGAACAATTCTGATGTGACCTCCTCCAAAGAGCCCCTTGGTCCACATGGCCTCTCCCCCGCCTAAAGTCATAGTCACTTCATCTGGTAATCTTGACTCAGTTTCCCCAATAGTTTGTTCCATTCTAAAAGCTTTTGCTCTGTGCCGGGCACTGGAGTAACATCTATACCAGCGCTGCTGCATGAATGATGAAGGAGAGACTATTTACCCCTCCACTATTTCACAGAAGCAAAGAGACACAGAGAGGGACAGCCACTTCCCTGAGGGCACACAGCTGAGAAGCGGGGATTCAGACCCAGGCAGTCTGGATCTTGAGTCTGCATGTCCAGCCACTGCACTCCACCCTCTGGCTCCCCACACATATACATACATGCACACACACACACACACACACACGTACACGTGTGCATCTATCTGCACATGGGGCATGGAGAGCTCGTGCTGGAGGATGCTGCCCCGGCCTGGTTTTATGTGCAGGGACCCTCTCTGTGTAGAGCTGTCATGAAGGATCTGCAGGAATAGTCAGCACCAAACCTCTCATGGTTGTTCGTTCTTTCCTACCTTGGCAAAAAAATGGTGACTGTTACACCGCCACTCCATGGACAGAAGCAGGACTCCTGCTTCACAGGCTGGGTTTAACTTTCCGAGGGCCTTTTTTTTTTTTAATTCTCTGAGAAGCTCCTTTGCTCAGCAAGGCTGTCAGGGGCACTGCTAAAGGTTGGGCGCTGGGTCTTCACTCCTTAGCACCCCAATTCCCACCCTCACCCCCCAGTGACTCTGACAGTGGACGAAGGGACACGAAGCCACAGGGATTCTCAGCTGACACTTGACACAGCAGATCCAGGGCCTTTGTTTAGAACCTCTGGGGATGGTGGGGTGGGGGGTGGGGAACGACTCTGGCTGTCCCAACAGTAATTCCCTGGCTCTCCCCACCTCCTCACCCTCCTAGGGGTGGGGCGCAAGAGCTTAGACTCCCCAGCCTTGGGCTCAGGTTCAGAACCTTTCCTGGGCCCTTCCAGAAACCCTCCCCGCCACTGGCTGATCAGCGACCTGGGCTCCTGCGTTTAGTGGCTGCTGTGGAGTGAGTTAGTGACCCAGAGAGGAGTAAATTGAGGCTCCCTCTGGAAGGGGGGTGTGTTATAAAAATGCTTCCCTCTGCTAGGACACCTGGACCCTACCAAGATCATTAGACTTGAACACCACATTAGACAACACCGTGTCTTCGTAAGAATATACATCACATCACAGACGGCCTAGAAGGAAGATTAGAAGGAAAGCCAGCAACAGGTCGATGTCTCTGGGTGGTGTGAGGTTACAAGTGGTCTTTATTTACATATTTTTTTCTATATTTGCTTAATTTTCTCCACTGGAAACGTGCTACTATTAAAATCACAAGAAAAAAGTATTTTTTTTGAATGCACAAACACATTCGCATTTATTTTCTTTTTTTTTTTTAAGCGAATGACAAAGACCTGGTTTACCAGCTTTAGTTTTTTAAACCTAAGCTTAACATTACATATTTAAACAATTGTCAAAACTTACTAAGTTGCCAGCATTCATGCACAACTAGGAAACATCCGTAATTTATATTAAACCAGAAATGTATTACCATTAATGCATTAGTATCTTTCACTATTAAATACTGAAAAAAATGGAAATTATTTCTGTAGAAGATTCGTCTTGGCAATGTTAACTTCACAGCAGGCCGACACTACGTGGCTCACATTTCAGACACAATGAAAAGCAGGTCCATGCTGGTGTTAGTGTACCATCTTGTCCTACACTGAAGAGTCAAGACTCACCTTGGAGTACGTTTAATAAAAAAGCAAAGTGCATACAGAGATTTACAACAATTTTAAAGACAAAAAAAAAATGGTCCTATTATGTGGTCCCAACCATAAACTCAAAAGTCTATGACAAATAGAGGCTCCGATGAGCTGTTTATAAATACTTTAGGTACAATTATACTGAAAGTCGAATTCGTTTGAAATCTTCGAAAAAACGTTCCTCTTAATCCTCAAATGGTGCTTGTTATAGTTTAAGTTTTCTGTTAAGCGTGTGCGGTGAATTACTTGTTATCCAAGCGCAGCAGCTGCTCCTTCCCATTTATTGTTAAGGACTTTAACTGGCGTCTTCTTCAGCTTCTACTCTTTCTTGACCATTCTCGACAGTTCTCTTTCTAGTGATTTTTCTGCCATTAACTATTTTAGTTGAAGTTGATATGGATTTGAAGTTGCCCATCCCACTGCCGCCAAATGACGCAGAAGAAAATGAAGTGAGGCCTCTGTGACCCAGTGACCCAAATGAAGTAAATCCTGTATCAAAAGAAGGAAACGCACTTCCAAAAAATGGAAATCCACTGAACGCAGAGAAGAACGACCCTGTCCCTCGGCTTCTGCTTCCTCGGGGACCCCTTCGATTCCCAAAGAAGTCCTCAAAAGGGTCTTCGAAGAAGTCAAATGAAAATGGGTCCCTTCCACCAAAAAAATTCCCTGAAGACATCATCTGAGTTTTAGAATGTGAAGCCAAATTCAAATGGACTGTCAAAATGACTTCCACCTCCTTCTCCACCATTTAATCCTTCTTTGCCGTATTTATCATAGATGTCCCGTTTCTTAGCATCTGACAGCACCTCATAGGCCTCTGCCACTTGTTTGAATTTTCTCTCTGCTTCTTCTTTATTCTCAGGATTTTTATCTGGGTGCCACTTCAGTGCCAGTTTCCGATATGCCTTTTTAATATCCTCGGGTGAGGCGTGTCTCTGTACGCCTAGAACTTCATAGTAATCCACCACGTTTCAAGAGATTGTTGGAATAGGTCTGAGGACAAAGGCGGTTGGTGGCGGGACGCAGGGGAGGTGGGGGTGACGGCCTGAATCTTCTCACGGCTCCAGCACTGCTGCGCGGGTGGCGGCGGCTCCTCGTGCTTTCCTTTCGAAAAAAGTACTTTTTAAAAAGGATATAATATTTTGTTAAAAGGAAGCTCAACAATAAAGTAAAAAGATATAAAATATCTCATTTTTGGACACAAAATATAAGTGTAACATTGAAAAGTGAAAATTATAAGATTACGTATAACCCCCATGAGAGCAGAATATATGCCAGATCTGTGACTAAAGTCATGTAGTTGTGTATTTGTAAATTCTGAATGAGAAAATTATATGTGAGAGAGAATAAAGGTAGTATGCCCTGTTGGTTCCCCCATTACAACACAAAGAGAGGGCTCTCGTTTATTTGTGTCTGGCTGTCTTGCTAGGATATGAGGCACTCAAGGGTCAAGGGAAACTTTAACTTCTCTCTGTTTCCCTCTGAGGACTTGACACTCAATGAAAATTTGTGGATGAACAAGTGAATGTGTTCTTTAAAAATAAATGGCTGGGCACGATGGCTTATGCTTGTAATCCAGCACTTTGGGAGGCTGAGATGGACAAATCACTTGAAGTCAGGAGTTCAAGACCAGCCGGGGCAACATGGTGAAATCTGGTATCCACTAAAAATACAAAAAAATTAGCCGGGCCTGGTGGTGGCATCTGTAATCCCAGCTACTCAGGAGGCTGAGGTAAGAGAATTGCTTGAACCCGGGAGGTGGAGGTTGCAGTGAGCCAAGATTTCACCACTGCGCTCTAGCCTGGGCAACATAGTTAGACTCTGTCTCAAAAGTAAAGACACACATTAAAACTCCACAAACAAAAAGCATACCAGGAAGTGATGTAGGAATGCGTCTGATAAATCGGTAAAACACAGAGGGTTGTATATTTTCAAACAGATTCCTCCAAGGGCACTTGGGCCTGCTTGTGGACCCTCTGTCATGCCCACCAGGCTGGGAGGTCCAGTGGATAGGGACCCCTCTGTCATGCCCACCAGGCTGGGAGGTCCAGGTGGATAGGGACCTCTCTGTCGTGCCCACCAGGCTGGGAGGTCCAGGTGGATAGGGACCCCTCTGTCGTGCCCACCAGGCTGGGAGGTCCAGGTGGATAGGGACCCCTCTGTCGTGCCCACCAGGCTGGGAGGCCCAGGTGGATAGGGACTCTCTTTGTTCATCTCGGAATCCGAGGCACCCAGTGCAGTTTGGATGTACTTGGGAGTACTATGAAAATATGTGGAAGTGGCCAGGTGCGGTGGCTCACGCCTGTCATCCCAGCACTTTGGGAGGCCGAGGTGGG